TTTTATAGACAAAGAAGCTAAGGCAGCACAAAGATGGGAACTCGCTGGAGCTATGCTTTTAACCTGCAGTCCATGTAGATCCGTTCTTGTTCACCATGCCATCCGGGCCCTTTTACTCGTCCCAGCCTCCTTTCTGCACAGAGCTTTCACTCTGCGAAGTCCCCTCAGAAGGATCCAAAGAGGTCCAGGCATTTTTTTAAAAACGGCTTTATTAAGGTATATTTTTCATATTATAATATCCACCCATTTCAAGTATACAATTCAATGATTTTTAGTAAATTTACCAAGTGGTGTAATTATGACTGTAAGTCAATTTCATCACCCCTGTAAGATTGGTCCATACATTCTTCACTCGATTTTCCCTCCATCTTCTTGACTATTTGATACCCGTATATTTAATATGTTCATATGCCAGCCCAGGACATCCAACTCTTTATTAAAAACAAACAAAAGTTCTGGAGACCGAAGGCAAGTAAAGTGCACAGAAAAGAAAGCTGAGTCCCGAGCCGGGCGAAGGGCTTGTCCGCAGCTCGCCTGGAACGGCCACACACAGGTTCCCCCTGGAAGGCGGCCAGGGCTCTGACCTGGGTGAGGGCCGCACTCGGAGCCTGCCGCCCCTGTGGGCGCTGCGCGGCCAGGTCGCAGTGAGGCTTGGTAAATGTGAGTTGAGGAGGAAGTGAAGGCAACAGTGACAACCTGAACTCTGATGAGAAATGCATCAAAGCCAAGGCAAGATCACAGTCAGGCTGTGGTGCCAAACCGCAGGAACGGGGGCCAGCAGCTCCTCCCACTGGCATCCCTGACACTTGGCCCTGGCTGGCTAACATAAGCACCTACCCACGCCCTGTTCACTGATCAGACAGCCAGCTCGTCAGTATGAGCTGATTTCACTCTCCCAGACCCCGGCCACTCATCTGGAGCCTGTGCTTCTGTGCTGTGACTTTTTCTTTTTTCTTTTTTTTTTTTTTTACATATTTTATTAATTTTTTTTGTGCCCTCCTTTCTCCCTCCCACACATCCCCTCCCTCCCCAGAGTTTTGTGTCCATTGGTTGTACTTATATGCATGTATACAAGTCCTTTGGTTGATCTATTCTCTCCTCCAGTGACTTTTTCTTGATGGAAATAAACTTGGGAGCACAGGGGCATGGAGGGTGAGGGCAGTCACTGTACAGTTTCATCCTGTGTGAGGCTGGGGAAGCAGCCAGAGCTGGGGAGCTGAGGCCGTGTAGAAACTGCTTAGACCAGCCGTTGGGTCATTCAACCCTTGTGTCTAGACCTGGAGGCCCGGGAGCAGCAGGCGCAGGCCCAGGCCCAAGGCGAGGAGGAGGAGGAGAGACGGAGCACCAGGACACTAGAGCAGGAGGTGAGTGACTGGCATGAGGGCCTCAGGCCATCTGCAGGAGTTGGGGGGAGGTGGACTTAGCTGGTGTGGTGGCTGGGAGGTCATGCCCTCCCCACCTCCTATGTGGGATCTGGGCCATCTGTCCCACCTGCAGGTTGCTGAGCCCTAGCTTACAGGTGGAACCTCCCAGGGGCCTTTCGGGCAGGAGCCCATCTGGAATGGGATCTGCACAGAATTGTCACCTCACCCCCCTGCCCTGCAGATCGAACGCCTGCGAGAAGAGGGTTCCCGGCAGCTGGAAAAGCAGCAGCGGCTGATGCAGGAGCAGATACGCCAGGAGCGGGAGCAGAGGTTGAGAGGTGGGAGTCCATCACCCTCACCTGCCTCCCGCTCTGGGGAGACATCTACCTGCTGCAATCCCAGGGGCATCCCCGTGGACACATGCCACCGTCCTTCTTCCTACCAGTTCTCCGGGCCTGTTTGCTTTCCCTCTGCCCTCGGTCTCTCAGCCTCATATACCTTAGTCCCACGTAGGGCTGGCTCTATTTTGGAGCAGGTAACCAGGAGAAAAGCTCTAGTTTTATATTTTTTAAAATGTATTTTATTGATTTTTTTTACGGAGAGGGATAGAGAGTTAGAAACATCGATGAGAGAGAAACATCGATCAGCTGCCTCCTGTACACCTCCCACTGGGGATATGCCCACAACCAAGGTACATGCCCTTGACCAGAATCGAACCTGGGACCTTTCAGTCCGAAGGCTGACGCTCTATCCACTGAGCCAAACCGGTTTCGGCAAAAGCTCTAGTTTTAGTAGAACTGCGCGGTTGTACCTCGGCGTCCTGCCCCCAGAAGGTGTTCACAGCCCTGCGCTGGCCACGGGCTCACCGTACCCTCCCGCAGGCGGCCGGCACCCCCTGGGGTGGCAGCTTCAGGGGCTCCTGGGCAGGGGCAGCTGTTGCCCGTGGTCAGAGTGACCTTTCCTAGGTCCTCTGGACCCGGGCTGCATCTCCTTCGAGAGAACGTCTCTCTCCTCATACTCTACTTTCTAATTTCCCAAATTTTCCAGGAAAGGCAGAAAACCCTGAAGGCAGAGGAACTCCCAAGCTAAAGGTGAGCCCTGTGCGGATCCGTGGGTCACCTCACACTACCTTCTCTCAGCGAGAACAGATACTTTCTGTGGCTCAAGGGCTTCTGGTGGGGACACTGGATCTCGGGGAGCCGGCACCTCTCCACAGCTTCCACCTTCCCCTGCCCGGGGAGGTCAGCCCCGGAGAGCTCGCCATGGAGGCTGCTCCTAGCCCTGACCGCTGCAGGCACTCTCCCCGGAGGCCCTCGAAGAGAGCATCCCACAGGCCGGGGAATGGCTGCAGTGGGCAGCCACCCTGCTCGTCCGTTTTCAAGGCGGACACATTTTGGAGGGTTCTCCCTAGATTGCTAGTGGCGGATGTCTATTCAGACTGTAAAGCTCAGGTGTGGGGTCTGGCGTCGTTCAGGCGAAAGCTGGTATTCACTGGTGATGCCCGCTGCTGTCTTTCCAGCTAAAATGGAAGTGCAGAGAGGACGGGTCAAAAGGCGGCTACTCCAGAGATGTCCTCCTGCGGCTTTTTCAAAAGGTCTGCCCTGCTGACTTCCCCCTTTCCCCATCATCTCAGTCCACACCCCAGGATCTCAGCCTAAACCTCCCTCACCGCCCTCCCTGCCTCTTTCTCTGTCACAGACCTCAGCCAGCTTAGCTTCTTCCAGGTCACGGCCCTCCTCTCCCCTCCAGCCTGGCTCACCTTCCCTGCCCGTCACCCTTAGAAGCAGAGGGCTTGGCTGAGTGTGTGGGAGAGAGGAGGTGGGCATCTGGCACAAAAGCCTTGCCTCCTTCACCATCTCCAGTCATTGAGGCAGCTTTGCCACTCTGCCAGTCCAAGTCCCAGCCCTTTGTCCGACTCTCCTTTCTCCCCTGTATTCCGGGGGAAATCCTTTCCTTCCTCTCTCTGGGACCCTGGGAACAAGAAGCGGTCCCAGCGGGACGCCCTGGGCCTCCGGCCGCCGGGCTGACGGCCTTCCTTGTCCCCGCAGTACGGAGAGGTGCTCAACCTTGTGCTTTCCAGTAAGAAGGCGGGCACCGCTGTGGTGGAGTTTGCGACCATCAAGGCTGCGGTGAGTGCTGCCTGAGGCTTTGGGGAGCCACTGCCGTTCCAGGGAGGGACTCAGTTCTGGGGGTACCCTGTGGTTAGGTGTCCACATTCCCAGGAAATCTCTGGGGCAGCTCAGAGCCAAGCCCTCTCAGCCCCACGCCCACCAGGTGCTTGACTCCTGCCTCCGGAATCCCGGAGGAGGACAGGCATAGCAGGGAAGGGATGGGCGGGAGGATGCTCTGGGATGAAGGAGAGCGTGGACCAACAGCATTGCCTGCTGCTGGCTCCACCCTCCACTCTGCCGGGGAGCTGGCGGCCTTCCCCCTTCTCCAGCTACTCCACTCGGCACACCATCTGGGAAGGTTGCTCAGTTTTGCTGGAGGATGAGTTTGCTGGTTCTGGTACTTTCTGTGGGGGTAGACTAGAGAGAGCCACTCCATAGCTGACTTTCGGAGTGTTAGGGCTAACTGGAAGCTGTGTCTGGCAGGAGCTGGCTGTCCAGAATGAAGTGGGCCTGGTGGATAATCCTCTGAAGATTTCCTGGTTGGAGGGACGGCCCCAGGGCAGGGACGGCCCCAGCCACCCAGGACTGGCACCGGTGAGGAGGGTTTGGGAACCTGTTCCTGTCTGGGCTCTTCTCAGGGCTCTTCGCTCGCAAATGCAGCTCCTCCTGACGGAGTGATTGGCAGGCCCGCCAGCCAGAGCTGGGGCTGGTTTCCTGCTGACCCCTTTCCTTTCTGGGTGGCAGCGACCCCCCCTACACAGATTCTTAGACCTCGTTTTCCCTCCACATCCTGGCTCCTGCTGAAACCATCCTCCCCCAGAGGGGTTTCCCTGGCCCGCAGGCTGCCTGGTTTTGATGTGAAGCATTTGGCTCTTAGACAGCCCGGCGCTGTAAGGAAGGGGGAGAGGACGAGGGCAGCTGCTTCCACTTGTGTCCCCACTCATTCTCCCGGTGTGTCCGCAGCTGCCCCAGGCAGGACCTGCTGTAAGGTGCTGTCTGCTCCTCAGAAATAACACTAGCGTCCCTGTCCACACTGGGCGCTCGCTGCCTGGCCGACTCATGAGGAGGCAGGCTTCAGCTGGTGTGTTCCCCACACTGGCTGCTGGTCCTCACAGCTCCATGGAGGCGCGCGCGCGCGCACACACACACACACACACGTGTGCACACCTCCCCCCCACACACACACACCCCTGCCCTTGCTTTGGTGGGACGGAGAGCTTTTAGGCCAAGAGCTCTTCCCTCTCTGCAATGGCCTGTGGTCTGTGGGAGCCTCAGACTGATGTCATAGTCCCTCTGAGGGGAGCATGCCCCTCGGTGGGTCAGCAAGGCCTTTGGCTGTCACCCCACCCCTGCCTTCCTACTTGGCCCCCCTTGGCCGTGAGAACCGAAGCTCTGGGAGGTGTCCCAGACCGTGGACGGAGGAGGACAAGGAACTGTCCAACTGAAGACCCTTCTGCTGGGAGCTCCTTCCCTCCCCGTTAAGTCCCAGCATCTCACAGCCCCAGATGACACTGCACAGGCTGCCATAGAGAACTTTATTTACTGCCTCCGGGGAGCGGCCTCTGGGCACACCCACAGGAGGAGGGGAGACGGGCCACAGGTTTGGGTGGAAGCAGTGTGTGCCGAAGCCGCCTTCTCTCTCCACACCTGGAGCTCAGAACCCGTGGCCCAGCCTTCCTGAGCTCTAGTTTCAAGTCTCTGGCCACGCCGCAGTGGGGGCAATAGCACAGCATCGGCCTTACCAGCGGCCTTAGCCCCGGGCGGCAGGCCCATCGGTGAGGGTCCAGGCAGAGCTCCCCATCCTGGAGGAGGATGGAGACTAGCCGTGCCTCTTCATGATAGCGGCCATGAGTTCCGTGTCCATCCCTGGTCTGGCCCTCCTGTGTTCTCGTTGGGGGAAGGATGAAGCAAAATCTGCCACTGTTGTTGCTGCATTTCCCAAGGGCTCCATCAGCAACAGTTCCCACGCAGCCCTTCTCACGCTGTCTGTGCCTTCAGCTGGCAGCCCCTGGATCTGTTCCTCGGGCCCCAGGGACTGCTGCAGGCAGCTGTGTTGGCAGCTGGAGTCTCTCATGCCCCCTCTCCTGCTAATGATGTGTGTGTCTCCATGCCTCCCTCTTCCTCCTCTGCCAGCCCCGCCCTTCCTGTGCAGGCCCTGTGCTCCCCTCCCCCATGCACTGCTCCTCAAGGCCGCAGTCAGGCTCTGCGGTCCTGTTAACGACCCAGAGGACCTTCCCCAGTGATGCTAATGAAGTTCGCCCTGCACTGTGCAGTGTGGTAGCCGCTGGTCATGTGGCGATTGAGCATTTGAAATGCAGCTAGTGCAGCTGAGGGACTAAATTTTTAATTTTACTTAGTTTCAATTATTTAAATGTTAGCAGCCACATGTAGCTAGTGGCTACTATTAATACACTGGGCAGAGTCAAGCCTGTCTCATCCTCTCCCCTCGGGTCTTCCCACTTTGCCCTTGGGTCTGATTCGGACCACTTTTGCCTTGACCTGACCTGTAACCTCTCGCTGTGGAGAGTAGCTTCAGAGGGTAGACTGTCCAGTCTGTGTGTCCTCCACTCTCTGACCCGCCCCTTGTGCCACCCACCCCTCTGCCGCCTCTGCCCAGCCCCTGGAGTTGCCGTGTGGCCTCTTTCCCAGCCTCGCTGCTGCCTTCAGGGCTCCTGACAGCAAGTGCCCCTTCACATTTCCAGCTTGCCTCCACTCCCGTCCCTCCACTCCGGGGGCCGGGGGACTGTTGAGGACCCGGAGGGCAGGCAGAGTCCTGGATTCCCAGCCGCACCTTTTTCTCAACCCACAACTCTACCTTCCTTTCCTGGGTCCCAGGCTTTCCTCTCCTCCAGTTACACACTCTGCACACCTCACCCCCGTCAGAAGCCGGGCTCCCTGGGAAACTGCTCCCTCAGCATCTGCAGAACCTCCTCGAGCAGAGAGACCCCCAGGTCCACTTTGAAGGAGAAGAAGGGGTCAGTGGGGTCCGGAGCAGGCGTCTGCTGGCAGGGGGGCGTGTCCGCCAGGTCCTCCTCGGAGCACTCGTGCAGGGCGTCCGCCAGGGAGAGCGCCGAGGGCAGGGTGGCCGAGTAGGCCGCGGCGTAGGCGGGGGAGGGCTCCAGGATGTTGGGGCAGCTGGAGCTCTCTCGGTAGAGGCGAGGGGGCTTGGGCGGGGCCAGGAGGGTGGTCCGGGGCTGCTCGTCCCCCCACAGCGGCAGGCGCCGGCCATCCGGCCTCCCTCGGAGCTCCCGGACGACCTCTCTGTTGCTGTACTCCTCGTGGTCCCCGCCGGCCGCACTGGCCTGGCTCAGCACGCTGCCCTGCCGCCGCAGCGCCCGAGGCCGCAGGCTCAGCCGCTTGAAGAAGGCGGCGTTGCGGAAGGAGCCTTTCCGCCAGGTCTCCATGGGGCAGTAGGTGGTAGGAGCGGCCTCTGTCCCAGCTCACCCTTTCCCAGCCAGCACCCCTCAGGGGTCCAGGTCAGCAGTGGCCAGGGGCCACCTGTCTCTGCCAGAGCCGTGCGTGGCGAATGGGAGGCAGCACGTGGGCTCCCAGCACAGGCCTCCAGCTTTCTGCCCCGCGCAGACCTCAGGCCGCACCGGGTGAGACGATGACCCGGAAGAGGCTAGCTTAGGCCGCGAGCTGCGGGCTCCGGGAGTCTCCCGGAGGCACAGGAGTGGCCCCGTTGCTCGGTTACTTCGGTTACTCGATAGGGCAGTGGAAAAACCCCGAGGGGAGGAAGCAGCACTTACTGGAGCCGGAGTGAGGAGCGCCAGGGGTGAGGGGTGAGTCTTCTCAGGTGGTAGGAGCGGCCTCTGCGCCAGCTCCTCAGGCCCAGCTCCCCCTCTCCCGGCCCTGCCTGCCGTGGCTCCGTGGCTCCGTGGCTCCGGCGCGGACGAGTGCCCTGTGCCCTGCTGGCTGTGCCGTGCGTGGAGGTGTGTTGTTGTTCTCAGCTGACTCAGTCAGGTGGAAGCCGGGTTTCGTGCTCCGGTAATTGCAGCATCCGCGTGCAGGAGTTGGGGCAGCCGTGGCCAACACCCCAGGGCCACTGGGGAGCCAAAGATTCCTCTGGGGACTCGTCTGGGGCAGCCCTGCCTTGTCCGTCAGCACACTGTCCCCCCACCACCCTGGGCCGAAGCAGCAGGCGGAGCTCCCCAGGCCCCAGTGTGCCTGGGGCAGAGGCGCCCAGGGAGGTGTGAGTTAGCTGAGTGCAGGCGCGGGGAGCACTCAGATTGTGGAGGAAGAGGAGGCCTGTTGGTAATGGGTGACTCAGCCCGGGGACAGGCCCTCATTAGCAGAGCCCACAGGTATGGGGGAAGGAGGGAGAGGGTGTGTTAACAGGGAGCAGCCCCATGCCAATAAAGGGCTGGCTGCTTCCAGGGCTGGGCTCAGGGCATGCCAGGGTGACTGGGGTTTTCTCAGCAGAGCAGTATTTCCTTGGGGAGGAGAGAACTGCCCTCCCTTTGGCCTGACACCCAATCTAAGCTGCTCCATTTCCTCATCTTCATCCATTTACCAGACGGCCTCCGGGCAGGAGAGAGCAGCTGAGGGGCAGGGTCCTGTGCTACAGTCCTTCCCGCGGCTGCTGTGAGGCCCTCTGGAGGGGCTGGCTCACAGGAGACGGCCCTGGCATGTCAGCAGAGCTCCGACCAAGCTGAGCGAGGAGGGCCTGGCTGGGAGGGCGACTCTGCTCAGAGCTCTTACAGCCCAGGAGAGAGAGGGGTGGGGCAGGGGGAGGACCAGGGGGATCTGGGCTGAATAACACTTCCTTCCTTGTTCCGAAACCCCCATATCCAAACCAGTTGGCCAGGGTCTGGCATCTTAACCACAGCCACTTCCTTCTGATGCCCTGGGTCACTGATGCCAAACTTGCCTCCTGACTGACTGACTCCGTGAGCGGGCAGCAGTCAGCACACCACGGACAGGGCGCTGCCCCTCTGCCTGCTGCTTAGCCGCGGCCCTGCTTCTGTGCCAGCTCAGCCGCGCCTCACGCTCCACGCTGAGGAAGTGATCTGATCCCACTGCAGGCCTATCAGGGCGCGGCGCTGGCGGCCCGCCCCGCAGCCTGGGCCCAGAGTGGGTGTTTGTTCTTCTTCCGATGGTGAAAACATAGCAGTCTGTAACCCACTGCACTCTGCTGGCAAGATCGTAGGGGAAAGAGCTCCAGCCCTCCCCTCCAAGAACCCTGCGGGTGTTTCTAGGAGGCAAGCCAGCTTCCTGCTCGGCTCTGTTTCGGGCTGAGGTTGACTGGGGCTGTGTCTCGGGCAGGGCTTCCTCTCTGTGACCTCAGCGGGCCGGTCAGCAGGGAAGACAGGCAGCGGGGAGGGTGCGGTGTCCAGCCTCTGCCTGGCAGAGCAGAACGGGTTTCTAACCTCTGACAACTTCCTTCACTGGAGCCTGTGAGAAGCAGAAGCTGGAGGAGAGGGCTGAGAGGGCTGAGGGGAGGGAGCCCCTGGGAAAGCTGGACCAGAGCTGGCTGGAGAGGGAAAGACCTGAGGGGGTGGGGCGGTAGCTGGTTCAGAAGCTGGTCTGGCGGCCCAGGGTCCGCTGGCTCCAAAGGAACATGAACTGGGCTTGCAGGTGCTCCCGGTCCTCCTCCTCCTGGCACCATTCTTCTTGACTCTCCCCTCGCTCTGCCCGGGCCCTGACCCCCTCTCCGTCCTCTGTCCCCAGGGCTCGGTGGTGTCCGAGAGGGACTACGAAAGCCTCGTCATGATGCGCATGCGCCAAGCAGCCGAGCGGCAGCAGCTGATCGCCCAGATGCAGCAGGAGGACGAGGTGGGGCAGCTCACGTAGCATCCGGCCCGCCACCCACAGCCCTTCCCTAATAAACTGTTTAAGCCTCCCGCTGTCGCATATACAGGCGTAGGAAGCCGGCCTGTCCGGTGTGGCCTGGGTCCTGGGCTCTGCTCAGAGGCCCCGCCCAGGCTGGCGCTCCCCCTGGGAGTGGCCAGACCCAGGGAGGCGCTCCACCTGCCGAGTCCCCGCACACACACAGCTTAGATCAGCCCGTCATCACAGCCCTTTATTGGCCTAGATTCGCGGCACAGGCCCCACCGCCCAGGCTCAGGGCCAGGGCTCCTGACACAGGCTGCCCATGAACGGGGACTCCTCCAGAACCCCCCCCAGCGGGGAGGCGGAGGGGCAGCCCGGAGCAGGTTTCAGAGGGCCGTGCACTGCCCGTGGCGCTGGTCCGAGGGAAAAGGACAATTTGGGAAAAGGCAGGGCCGCGAGCGAGGGGGGCTTGGGATCGGGGCCCATCGGCAACCACTCGGAGAAGGGTGCCCTGTCCCTCCTCACAGGGAGGTCACTCCTTGTGCAGGCACCACACCAGCGTCTGGCCCACGCCTGTCATGCTGAGCACGCGGAAGCCCCTGCGTTCCAGCTTGTCCAGGACGATTCGAGGAGGGTCATTGACGTAGTACTCGTAACTGCGAACAGATGGAGAGGGCAGCGTGAGGGGGCACAGTGTGAGGGGCACAGTGCGAGCTCCCCCTTCAAAGCCAGTATCTGCTGAAGACCACAGCCGGGCAGGATGCTCATGACAGGGACAGACACGGCTGGTGTCTTCCAGGTGCCGGGCTGGTGCACATCCCCTGACCCTCCCCTGCTAAGCCTGTCCGTGCCTCATCCCACTTATTCCCCCCCACAGCCGAGGAAGGCACATCAGTGTTTTCATTTTGTAAATGAGAACTTCCAGGGCGTAAGTCGCTTCCCGGTGTCATAGGCTGGGGGACAGCCCCGCGTGCCCTGGCTGCTGCGAAGAATGGCTGCTCCCAGGGCCTCACCAGCCTCCTGCCCCTCCTCCTGCCTAGCCTGTCCCACAGTGCTGGGGCTGTCGCTTGACCCCCAACAGTTCTGACCCTGGGCGCCTCTCCCTAGCACAGAGGAGGCTCGTGTCCCTTCTTTCCGGGTGAACTGATTCTAAAGGGCCGTCACAGAGGTGAAGGGCGCAAGCTCCAGCTGGGCATCCCCAGATCAGTGCTGCATGGCACACGCATGGGGTTGGCTCCTGCCCTCCAGCCCTGGCCCAAGGGGCGGGCACCAGCTCGCCTCTCCTAGCTGCCCCCTTTGGATGGGGCTCATTCTGGGGGCCCTTCTGAGGAGTTCCAGCCTGTGGGCGTGCACGGGGAGGGACAGAAAAGGGAGCAGCACTCAGGTTCAAGCTCAGAACCAGTTAGTGTGGAGAAAGCCAAGGGAAGTGGCCGAGCGCCAGGCTGCTGGCTGAGCTGGAAGGAGGACCAGGCTGTGGCTCCCTGTTTGGGGGCTTAGGGTTGTTGATCAGCCAGCTCTTCGAGACAGAAACCTTTTCCCCGTGCCTGTCTCTGCCACGATACGGTCCAGCTTGGAGACAGCGGGGAGAGCATAATCCTGTCTCCGGGGCTGGACTCTGCCCTGGGACTGACTTTGTCCTTGAGCGCTGTTATGACGGGAGGGCGGCGGGAAAGCCTCGGAGCAGCCCGGGGCTGTGAGCTGCAGACAGGACTGACCCTGTGAGAGGACAGCCCGGGCGGCAGCCGGGGGCTCTGAGGCTGGCCGTGGTGGTGTGTGAAGGGAACGGGAGGGTCCGCGGGGAAAGATACGGAAGAATGCCACTACTTACAAGTTGTTTCCCAGGACGCCTCTTTTTGAGGCCCCCAAATGGTGCATCAGCTCCGGATCGGAGTACTCATCGCCCACCATGGTGGGACCCACCTCCTGCAAGGTAAGCCATAAGGGCGCTTGGCTGGCTGCCAGGCAGAGCGAGCGGTCTGCCGCTCCTTCCTCCCTGCCTGCTGCTGTGAGCCAGCTTAGATGAGGTTTGGAGGGGTTGGTGAGGGACCTTGAGGGCTGAGAACATTCTGGAAAAGGGTGAGGCCAGTCAGTGACCCAACCAAACAATGTGAGGCTTCTCTGGCCCCTCCAGGAGGAGCTGGGCAGTGTCTGAGCTGGCACCTGCGTGCCAGGCACCACCCGCCATGTGTTTGATGTGTGCCAATCCGCTGGAGAGCAGAGGAATGAAAGCCTGTCCATATAAGATCTTGTACGGAATGTCGGTGGCAGTGTTATTCATAATAATCAAAAGTGGAAGCAACCTAAATGTTTCCAGCTGCTGAATGGATAAATGCAATGTGGCACGTCCATATGATGGAATCGTATTTGCAGTAAAAAGTAATGAGCTCTGCCCTAACTGGTTTGGCTCAGTGGATAGAGTGTCGGCCTGTGGATTCGATTCCAGCCAAGGGCATGTACCTTGGTTGCAGGCACATCCCCAGTAGGGAGTGTGCAGGAGGCAGCTGATTGATGTTTCTAACTCTCTATCCCTCTCCCTTCCTCTCTTAAAAATCAATAAAATGCATTAAAAAAAAAAAAGTAATGAGCACTGATGCGTACTGCAATACAGATGAACCTTGCCGTTTGAAACCAGTTTGGCTCAATGGATAGAGTGTCGGCCTGTGGACTAAAGGGTCCCGGGTTCGATTCTGGTCAAGGACATGTACCTTGGTTGTGGGCACATCCCCAGTGGGGGTGTGCAGGAGGCAGCTGATCGATGATTCTCTCTCATTGATGTTTCTAACCCTCTATCTCTTTCCCTTCCTCTCTGTAAAAAAATAAAATAAAATATATATATATATATATATATATATATATATATATATATATGAACCTTGAAAACCTTATGTAAGTGAAAGACGTCAGATACAAGACCACATATTATGACAGACAGTAGATTAGTGGTTACCTGGGGCTGGGACCTGGGGGCGGGCAGTGATGAGAAGTGACTGCTAAGTGATGGGAATGTTCGAAAATTGATTAGGATGATGGTTGCACAACTCTGAACGTAATAAAAAGCAAACCACTGTTGAACTGTACACTTTAAATTGGTGAGTTCTGTGGTTTGTGTATTATGTAGCAATAAAAATGACCTGTTTTTTTTAAAACCACTTGAGCACCGAATTCCCATGCCCCAGGCTTAGAGTGTTTTGAGAGGTCTGGGAAGGGGCCGAGAGCCCACATTTAACAGCTGCTCCAGTGACTGGTTCTCAGACCACTGCCCTGGGCACGGCCAAGGCCGCCCATATCCCTCCCACCCAGGGAGCTGCTTACCCTCTGATGGGTCCCTCAGCCCTGGGGAGTGAGAAGGGGCCGAGGAGCACCCTGCCGCCCAGCTGGGGGACCCAGGCATGTAATTCTGAAGATAAAGGGGGCCCTGGGCAACCAGCACCTTCTTAGACAGGAAACTGCATCCAGAGGTGACTTTTGACTCCAGAATGGTTTCTCCCACTTCTAACACCATCCGCAGCATTCTCCCCTTCTTTTTTTTTTTTTTTTTTAATATATTTTATTAAAAAAATAATAAGATAAAATATATTTTATTGATTTTTTACAGAGAAGGAGAGAGTGTTAGAAACATCCATCAGTTGCCTCCTATTGGGGATGTGCCTGCTACTAAGAATTGAACCAGGGACCTTTCAGTCTACAGGCGATGCTCTGTCCACTGAGCCACACCGGTTAGGGCTTCTTTTCTTTTTTTTTTAATATCCTCACCGGAGGATATTTTTTCCATGAATTTTTAGAGAGGGAAAGACAGAAATACCAATGTGAGAGAAACACCCTGTTTCCCCGAAAATAAGACAGTGTCTTATATTAATCTTTGCTCCCAAAGATGCGCTAGGTCTTATTTTCAGGGGATCTCCTATTTTTCCATGAAGAAGAATACGGTACATATTTATTGTTAAATGAAAATAAAGGAAATTTATTACCTGTATACGGTACGGTAGTACGGTAGTTGTCAACACAACCAGACAAACTGTGAATCCTACAGTATCAAGAATTTATTCATTTATTCAATGACAATCATGTCATCACCGTCTGGAACATCATCATAACAATCCAATTTCTGAATTTCCTGGTGAATTTCTTGTGACTCCATTTCTTTCAGAATCAGTGGACCAAATCTCTCATGTTTAGCCTGGGGGGGCCTTATTTTTGGGGGATGCCTTATATTTCACTCAGAAGGAAACCTGTAAGTAGGTCTTATTTTCGGAGGATGTCTATTTTCGGGGAAACACGGCAGATTGGTTGCCTTCTGCACACGCCCAGGCCAGAAGGGGCTGGGGAGGAGCCTGCGTCCCAGGTATGTGTCCTAGACCTGAATGAGCCCAGGACCCTTCAGTCCCCAGGCCGAAGCTCGATCCATTGAGCCAAACTGGCTAGGGCGCCCCTTCTTGAGCAGGAAGTTTTGTGTGCTTTTTGTTTGTTTTTCTTTTCCTTTCCCAAGGCCTTAGGAGCAACTCTTCCTGGAAGTGCTTACGGGGGCAGCTAGCAGCTGTTTAGCATCTTAGCACATCCTTCACCAAACCTCTTCTCCTCGGGTTACTGCATCCCGCCCGCTACCCCCAGCGGAGCGGCTCCCTGTAGGGCAGTGGGTGTTGCGCCTGTGAGGCCAGGGTTCCCCGTGGGCAGGTGGGAGCAGCCGCAAGCGCCCGAGCTCGCTGGGTCGCGGGGACGCAAGCATCTGGCCTCCGCGTCCTCGGAGGCGCCGAGCGGCCAGAGCCACGAGTTCCGAGTTCCTGATCCGGGCGGAGTGGGATCCAGCCTCCCTCCGGGGCCCAGGGGGCGTGTCCGGGAGGGAGGCGCCAAAGTGCGGCCGCAGCCCCCACCCCACGGCCAGGCGGCTACTCACCATGCGGATCTGGGTGCTGATGAGCACGTAGGGCATGGTGCGCGCTTCCCGGCCAGGCTCCCAGCGTGGGCTTTGGATGTGGTGCCGGCAGCACCTCGGACTGCGACCAGACGCCCGGTCCGCTACTCCGGCCTCTGGCTCTGCCAATCCCGGAGCGCATGGCCGCGTCGGCAGCCAATCAGGAGCGGGCGCCCGTGACGCCCTGGCATTCAGGGCCCGCCCCCACCCCGGGGCTGTGGGGAGCCGCTCCGGCACCCGCGGCACGGAGGCGCCCCGCGCGCCTGTGACCTTGCACCCTCTCACTGCAACGCCCCCAGGGACAGGTTCCAAAGTCCTGCTGGTCCCTCCGTCAGTGAGGCAGAGCAGGGAGCAGAGGCGACCCCGCTGACGCCTCCCGAGCTCTGGCCGCTGCACCAGGGGCGCCTCTCACTTCCCCGGGGTCTCCAGCGGAGGAAATGCACGGAGAGGGGCTGTGGCTACAGCTAGAGTACCAGCTGGGCTGCGCTGCGCCCCAATTCCTAGCACAGGGGTTGGACCTTGCATTTCTGGGCGCTGTAGGTAAATCTGCAAAGGAACTGAGCGCTTGGCCATGTGCCAAGCCCGGAGGGACTTGAACCAACAGAATTTGTTTTGGCCTTCAGTTCAGAGAGATTTCTGCGAAGCTAGAGAGGCTGGCACAAGCAGAGATCGGAAGGCAACGCATGGGGCAAAGGAAACTACTTGCCCGCACCAGTCATCAGGAGAGGGCAGCGAGTTCACCTCCGTGCACCCACGCCCTCATCTGAAATGTAGCAAAATCTGACAACATTCTTTGTCTTGTTGTGACTGGTTCTTTGAAAATAAGCAGAGCAAACCGTACCTGGCTGGTGCTGTTCAGTGGTTAGAGCGTCAGCCCTGCTGACCGAAGGGTTGTGGGTTCGATTCCCTGTCAAGGGCAGGTACCTGGGATGCAGTTCGATTGAGGGACAGACTATCCATGTGTCTCTCACGTGGATGTCTCTCCCCCTTCCTCACTCCCTCAATAGAAAAAATACCTTCCAGTGAGGATTAACAACAGAAAGCAAAACAAAAACAGCCTGTAACCTTCCAGGCCAGCGATTGAAAAACTTTGACTTTTACTGAAGCGCTCTTAAATGTGAAGAGAACTGTTCGGGAAATAGGAAGTTATAATTCTACATGGGTCTAATTTATTTTCTGTACTCTCTACTATCCCCCAGGGTTAATAACCTAGCTACAGAGATAAATCAGACATATTCATGCTTAACAAAGGTTTTGTTAAATTGTCAAAGGATGAATGCCCAGGACATATAAAGAACTACAAATCAATGAGGAGAAGATAAGTCAATAGAAGAAATATTGGGCAAATGACTAGAATAGGCACTTTTCAAAAGAGGGAATGGAAATGGCCAATAAACATAAAGCATGATGTTCAATATCATTAGAAATCCTAGAAATGCAAATTAAGCTACACTTTAAACCACAATGACATACTATTTTAATGATTTGCAAGAAAATAAGTAAACATCAAGTATTGGTAAAGATATCTAACAAACGGAAACACTGCTGTTGGGACTGCAAATCACAATTACCTTGCGCCTTGGAAGACAAATTGGCGCCAGCTGGCAAAGCTGAAGATGCGATTCCCTACGACCCAGCCTCACCGCTCTCACAACAACCTCAGGAGCACTCACTGACGCCATCACGGGAATACACGCACAAGGACATTCGTAACAGCACTGCTTGCAACTAGCAAAAAACTGGAAACAGGTCTATATTCATCAAAAGTGGAATGTGTTTCTGGTTGATTCTGTTAACAAAAGTTCCAGAAGAAATTAAGAGAATTTTGCTCCTGTGTGATTTGCAAATCAGACAACATAGCCCTAGGTATGAACCAAAGACACGCCCTGAGCTGGGAGGAGGAGAGCAGAGTTTTTAAAGCTATAAGCTGCTAGCAGCTGACCATCAGAGATGGGTTGTAAGGAGAAACAAGACCATAAACTTACATCAGTCATTTCCCAGTTGGTGGAGGCATTTGGCCTTTCAACAGCGGCCGACTCTGTGTTCAGCGAGTGGGCTGTGATACAAGAATACCGGGTAACTGACGTTTAGGCATTTGTCAGTGTTCTGCTTATAGAACAAAAGCTTTTGGGTTACTTATCAACAGAAACCAAACAGCACAGAAAGACTTCGTTCTGCAGGCAGTTTTCAAATCCAAGGACCAGGCCATGCTCCAGACGCGGCTCAGAGTTCAAACTGCAAAAATCCGAATGTGGGGCCGCCAGTTATGGTATAAGCCCTCAGTCCACAGGATGGAAACTATGGCAGTGAAAATGCTCAGTGAAAAAGCAAACCTTGGAAATACATAGAACAATTCTATCTACGTAAAGTTCACAAACTTGCAAAACTAAGCAATAATACTGTTTGGAGATAAAGACAGATATGGTCAGATCATGAAGAAAGGTAAGAGAATGGTCATTGTTAACCAGGGTAGGGGTTATCCTGGAGAGCAGGGGAAGGGATGGGGGAGAAGATGCAGGCGTCTTAGAAGGCGAAAGTGAAGGGCCCCTGAGCAAGCCCATCCAGCGGAGCGGTCGGACCCGGAACCCTCCCATTGCCCCTGCCGCACCCGGTGTGGAGCCGGGCCAGCTGGACCGAAAGGGGACAAACAGGCCCTCAGGGATCCCCCCACAGGCTTCCTCTCCGGCCTCTGAGGACCCGATGCCTGAGCGAGCAGACATGGTGTTTCGGGAGGCACAGAGAGCACGCCAGAAGCCACTGGTTTTCCAAGGAGCTGTCCGAGGGCTCTGGCTGCATCCGCCACAAGATGGCCCATCGTCAGCACGGTGGCCGCCAGATCGGACTCTGCCAGCCCCGGCTGCCCGGCTGTGCCGGAGAGCGCACCTGCGGGTGAACACCTGGGCGGTGTCCTCCCGAACGCGGGAGGATGGCTCCTCTGCCTGGCGTGTGAGGAGTCCCCTGTGGGTTCCTCGCCTGCAGGAAGGAGACGATGCTGGGCCAGAGCAGCCCTGCCAGAACCATGGGGCGGCCCCTGCAGTTAGCTCCCTGCCAGCCGCCCCTGCCCTCCGCCGCACTCATCCTGCGTGACAGCGGCCAGGCCACGCCCCTCAACCTGGGGACTGTGCTTTAACTGGAGCGCTGTTCACAGATCAGTGTCCATATATCTATAGATATCTACAATAATCTATCCGTCTACCGGTATCTGTCTAATTTTTGTTGATGTTAATCCTCACCTGAGGGTATTTTTCCATTGATTTTTAGAGACTGGGAGGGAGGGGGAGAGAGAGAAGCATCAGTGTGAGAGAGACACATCGATTGGTTGCCTCCTGCATGTGCCCCAACCAGGGCTGGGCCCAACCAGGGCCGGGGATTGATCCTGCAACCAAGGTACGTCCCCTAGACCGGAATTGAACCCAGGACCCTTCAGTGGCCAAAGCTCTATCCATTGAGTCAAACTGGCTGGGACTATAGAGATAAAGATGATATATATATATATATATATATATATATATATATATATATATATATATATATATATATATATATATCATCTTTATCTCTATAGTCCCAGCCAGTTATATATATATATAACTGTTATATATATATAGTCCCAGCAATTATATATATATAATTATTTATTTATTTATTTTTTTTAAGAAAGTGGGGAAAAAAGAAGCCTGAAAATTTTTAAAAGAAGAAAGTTATTTAAGTTACTGCTTGGAAGCGGCCTCCCAGGTGCCTTTGGAGAGAACTGCCTTCAGTCTGGGGGCCAGTGTGTGCCTGTGGGAGGGGAGCAGTTAGGGCTGGGCCCGACCAAATGAGGTGGCAGAAGCTTGGTCAGCACCTCAAGAAGATATGAGAGGGTCCTAGCCAGTTTGGCTCAGTGGATAGAGCATAGGCCTGCAGACTGAAGGGTCCCAGGTTCGAATCCACTCAGGGCACATTCCTGGATTGCCTGCTTGATCCCCAGTGGGGGATGTGCAGGAGGCAGCCTGTCAATGATTCTCTTTCATCATTGATGTTTCTCTCTTTCCCTTCCTCTCTGAAGTCAATAGAAACATTTATGAAAAGAAGATGTGAGAGGGAGCAAACACGGTTAGCAGCTGTGGATGAGAGATCAGGATCTGCCTGGTGAGGGGGAAGGGCTGACTCAGACCTCTCCCCTCCCCCAGGACACCTGCACCCCGACCTCAGGGCGCTCAAGCCTGGACTTGCTCCTGTTGCCTAATCTTCACTTTTATTTTTTCCAACTAGTGGCCCAGGGCACGAAATTCGTGTGGGGGAAGGAGTGCTCCTCAGCCCGGCTTTGCACCCTCTCCAATCTGGGACATCCCTCTCACAATCCAGAACTGCTGGCTCCTGTCTGCTCACCTGATTGCCCCTCACTGCTTCTGCCTGCCAGCCTGATCGTCCTTAACTGCTCCCCTGCTGGCTTGATTGCCCCTAACCACCTCTGCCTCAGCCCTGCACCAGGGACCCAGGATTCCCTCCTCCAGCTGACCACAGGCACCTGGAATCCGGGTTTCCCCCCTCTGGTCAGCCATAGGCGCCCAGGCTGGCTGTAGCCTCAGGGGATGGTGGGCAGATGGCTTCACCTGGGCTGCAGCTGCAAGTGGGGCAGGTGGCTTCTCCGTCTGCCAGGCTGCAGCCAGCCTCAGGCGCTGGGGCCTGGTTTCTCTGACTCCCCCAGGACATGGGGCAGGTGGATGTGAGGCTTCTCCAGCTGGCTGCTGCCTGGGATCCTGGGCAGGTAGCTTCTTTTGTCTCCCGAACTGCACCAGCCTCAGGCTCCGGCACCCGGTTTCTCTAACTCCCACAGGCCCAGAGTGGCTCAGGTGTGGCTGCTGCCATCTTCGTCAGGTTAATTTGCATACTCACTTCTGTTTGGCTGGTGGGAGTAGCGGAGGTATGATCAATTTGCATCTTTCTCTTTTATTAGTGTAGATGAGATCCTGGACAGAGAGTGATTTCTTCTGTCCTAAGCAGTTTTTCTTCAAATCACGTGTTTCTACTTCTATGCTAGTGGGCCTGTAGATGTTGCTTCCCAGCCAGGAATCTAAAGCTTTTGGTTTGGGGTCGGGGCAGTAAGGAGGGACTCGGCTGCGATGGAAGGGTTCTCTGCACAAAACCATTG